TATTTTGGCGATCAGACGAAGCCTTGGGGCACTTTTGACGCGCCCCGTCCTTTAAGGGACGATTAAGGGATGAGGGATAGGAGCCACAGGTCTGGAACCTTCGACTGAGGTTAGATATTGACCCGAGGAATCGATCGCGACCATTATTTTGGCGATCAGACGAAGCCTTGGGGCACTTTTGACGCGCCCCGTCTTTAAGGGACGATTAAGGGATGAGGGATAGGAGCCACAGGTCTGGAACCTTCGACTGAGGTTAGATATTGACCCGAGGAATCGATTGCGACCATTATTTTGGCGATCAGACGAAGCCTTGGGGCACTTTTGACGCGCCCCGTCCTTTAAGGGACGATTAAGGGATGAGGGATAGGAGCCACAGGTCTGGAACCTTCGACTGAGGTTAGATATTGACCCGAGGAATCGATTGCGACCATTATTTTGGCGATCAGACGAAGCCTTGGGGCACTTTTGACGCGCCCCGTCCTTTAAGGGACGATTAAGGGATGAGGGATAGGAGCCACAGGTCTGGAACCTTCGACTGAGGTTAGATATTGACCCGAGGAATCGATTGCGACCATTATTTTGGCGATCAGACGAAGCCTTGGGGCACTTTTGACGCGCCCCGTCCTTTAAGGGACGATTAAGGGATGAGGGATAGGAGCCACAGGTCTGGAACTTTCGACTGAGGTTAGATATTGACCCGAGAAATCGGTTGCGACCATTATTTTGGCGATCAGACGAAGCCTTGGGGCACTTTTGACGCGCCCCGTCCTTTAAGGGACGACTTAGGGATGAGGGATAGGAGCCACAGGTCTGGAACCTTCGACTGAGGTTAGATATTGACCCGAGGAATCGATTGCGACCATTATTTTGGCGATCAGACGAAGCCTTGGGGCACTTTTGACGCGCCCCGTCCTTTAAGGGACGATTAAGGGATGAGGGATAGGAGCCACAGGTCTGGAACCTTCGACTGAGGTTAGATATTGACCCGAGGAATCGATTGCGACCATTATTTTGGCGATCAGACGAAGCCTTGGGGCACTTTTGACGCGCCCCGTCCTTTAAGGGACGATTAAGGGATGAGGGATAGGAGCCACAGGTCTGGAACCTTCGACTGAGGTTAGATATTGACCCGAGGAATCGGTTGCTACCATTATTTTGGCGATCAGACGAAGCCTTGGGGCACTTTTGACGCGCCCCGTCCTTTAAGGGACGACTTAGGGATGAGGGATAGGAGCCACAGGTCTGGAACCTTCGACTGAGGTTAGATATTGACCCGAGGAATCGATTGCGACCATTATTTTGGCGATCAGACGAAGCCTTGGGGCACTTTTGACGCGCCCCGTCCTTTAAGGGACGATTAAGGGATGAGGGATAGGAGCCACAGGTCAGGAACCTTCGACTGAGGTTAGATATTGACCCGAGGAATCGATTGCGACCATTATTTTGGCGATCAGACGAAGCCTTGGGGCACTTTTGACGCGCCCCGTCCTTTAAGGGACGATTAAGGGATGAGGGATAGGAGCCACAGGTCTGGAACCTTCGACTGAGGTTAGATATTGACCCGAGGAATCGATTGCGACCATTATTTTGGCGATCAGACGAAGCCTTGGGGCACTTTTGACGCGCCCCGTCCTTTAAGGGACGATTAAGGGATGAGGGATAGGAGCCACAGGTCTGGAACCTTCGACTGAGGTTAGATATTGACCCGAGGAATCGATCGCGACCATTATTTTGGCGATCAGACGAAGCCTTGGGGCACTTTTGACGCGCCCCGTCTTTAAGGGACGATTAAGGGATGAGGGATAGGAGCCACAGGTCTGGAACCTTCGACTGAGGTTAGATATTGACCCGAGGAATCGATTGCGACCATTATTTTGGCGATCAGACGAAGCCTTGGGGCACTTTTGACGCGCCCCGTCCTTTAAGGGACGATTAAGGGATGAGGGATAGGAGCCACAGGTCTGGAACCTTCGACTGAGGTTAGGTATTGACCCGAGGAATCGATTGCGACCATTATTTTGGCGATCAGACGAAGCCTTGGGGCACTTTTGACGCGCCCCGTCCTTTAAGGGACGATTAAGGGATGAGGGATAGGAGCCACAGGTCTGGAACCTTCGACTGAGGTTAGATATTGACCCGAGGAATCGATTGCGACCATTATTTTGGCGATCAGACGAAGCCTTGGGGCACTTTTGACGCGCCCCGTCCTTTAAGGGACGATTAAGGGATGAGGGATAGGAGCCACAGGTCTGGAACTTTCGACTGAGGTTAGATATTGACCCGAGAAATCGGTTGCGACCATTATTTTGGCGATCAGACGAAGCCTTGGGGCACTTTTGACGCGCCCCGTCCTTTAAGGGACGATTAAGGGATGAGGGATAGGAGCCACAGGTCTGGAACCTTCGACTGAGGTTAGATATTGACCCGAGGAATCGATTGCGACCATTATTTTGGCAATCAGACGAAGCCTTGGGGCACTTTTGACGCGCCCCGTCCTTTAAGGGACGATTAAGGGATGAGGGATAGGAGCCACAGGTCTGGAACCTTCGACTGAGGTTAGATATTGACCCGAGGAATCGATTGAGACCATTATTTTGGCGATCAGACGAAGCCTTGGGGCACTTGACGCGCCCCGTCCTTTAAGGGACGATTAAGGGATGAGGGATAGGAGCCACAGGTCTGGAACCTTCGACTGAGGTTAGATATTGACCCGAGGAATCGATTGCGACCATTATTTTGGCGATCAGACGAAGCCTTGGGGCACTTTTGACGCGCCCCGTCCTTTAAGGGACGATTAAGGGATGAGGGATAGGAGCCACAGGTCTGGAACTTTCGACTGAGGTTAGATATTGACCCGAGGAATCGGTTGCGACCATTATTTTGGCGATCAGACGAAGCCTTGGGGCACTTTTGACGCGCCCCGTCCTTTAAGGGACGATTAAGGGATGAGGGATAGGAGCCACAGGTCTGAAACCTTCGACTGAGGTTAGATATTGACCCGAGGAATCGATTGCGACCATTATTTTGGCAATCAGACGAAGCCTTGGGGCACTTTTGACGCGCCCCGTCCTTTAAGGGACGATTAAGGGATGAGGGATAGGAGCCACAGGTCTGGAACCTTCGACTGAGGTTAGATATTGACCCGAGGAATCGATTGAGACCATTATTTTGGCGATCAGACGAAGCCTTGGGGCACTTTTGACGCGCCCCGTCCTTTAAGGGACGATTAAGGGATGAGGGATAGGAGCCACAGGTCTGGAACCTTCGACTGAGGTTAGATATTGACCCGAGGAATCGATTGCGACCATTATTTTGGCGATCAGACGAAGCCTTGGGGCACTTTTGACGCGCCCCGTCCTTTAAGGGACGATTAAGGGATGAAGGAAGGGAGCTAGGGCAAAATAAATGTCATATTCGTGTTCCCCGTCCCCCAATTGACCTGATGGCAGTTTTTGAAGCGATTCTGAATCCGACGCTGTATTCGTTGCTGTTGCTGACGCTAACTTCACGGACATTAGCCGACGCAAGATATTGGGTAACTATTGGTCATTTGGGTCATGACATGACCTGAAGAACAATGTAATATCTCCGAAACCAAAAACCACAAAAACTTGAAATTGTCATTGGACGCTGAGAAAGGATTGAGACGCAGCTATACTGATGCGAAAAATCAAGCATCTAGCTTTAAAAATGTTGAGTGCAGAGCAGAAAATACTAACTGGGGGGGGGGGGGGGACGGGTGGCCCCCCGTGCAGGCAAGGGATAAAGAATAAAGTCCAAAATTACAACAGCATCATCATACATCTGCGATCTCCACCTTACAACTGACTGAAGTATCATTGAAGTCGACCACCAATTTCTCTGACCTGCAATTCAACTTCCTTTATTAAAATAATAAACTCTTTTCAAACTTCAGGTTTGTTTTTGTGGGGAAACGTCTCCTTTTCTTCCCACAAAGTTATCCCCAAAATTGGTGACAATTATAATTCAGCTTTCTTCACTTATAACTTATAAATATCAAAAGCAGTCATTTAGATTAAATTAATTTCATCCATTAGGTTTCTTACCTCTGCATGAAAAATTTACAATTAGAAATGCAAAATATTCCTTTTCGTTGGTTGGTTGGTTGGTTGGTTGTGGGATAAGCACCAAATCATATGGGGAGTGGGACAAAGGTGCTAATTGGAACTCTCACCCTGTTCTGATGGTTATTATATGGGAAAAGCTCCCCTAGCTGAGCTGAATTGGGCAGAAACTGAGCTGAGCTGAATTGAGCAGAAACTGAGCTGAGCTGAGCTGAACGGAAACCGAGCTGAGCTGAGCTGAAACTGAGCTGAGCCGAGTGCAGCTGGTTTGAGCGGAACGTGAGCTGAAGTGAGCTGAGCTGCGTTTAACTGTTCACACTGAAATGGCATACAAAGTAAACCTCCCCCCTTGTGCATCCTAATGGATCACACCACAAGTTTCTTTAAGAGCATCCTTGATTTTCAGTTTAAACAACCCGCGGTTAACTGAAAATCAAGGATGCTCTCAAAGAAACTTGTGGTGTGGTCCATTAGGATGTAAAAGGGGGGAGGTGCACTTTGTATGCCATTTCCTTGTCTGCAAACTTCTTGGGTACATTTCTTTGTCTGACCTTCACAAGGCCTAGCTGACAAAGACTTGTGCACCGGACACCATGATTTGTGAAGGTGAAAAAATGCAGCAAAACAAATATGCAGACAAAATGGAGAGAAATATGCTAAAAATATTTGATTTTACAATAATACATTGTAAGCACAAATATTTGTGGCATATCGTTCTTGAACCTTGCATAAAAAGGGAGAGGCGAAGAACGAGATGAAATGCCCTCCAAGTATTTGTGTGGATACCAAAACCAAAGACAATTATCACCATATTGTTACCTTGCATGAATAAAATAATAAAAATGGCATTACCAGTGCCTCGAAATTTGACAAAACTGGCACCTCCTGAGGCAAAAGCAGTCTATTAAAACTTACCTGAAAACTGTACCCTGAGTATTATATATTTCGCAAATGACACAGCAAAGCCGAGGCATGACCAATTGAAACAAAATAAGTAGATCACTTATACTTCTAACTCATCATTATCCCACAACCAGAAAAAAAAAACTCATTTCGAGACGCATACTCTACTCACCGTGGCATACTCCAGCTCCGTGCGCCGACAACGCCAGCTTATTGGTAAATCAAGTGGTACTTGAATTAAATACGTGACAGGCGCTCAAAATGCAAATGACGTCATCAGATTGCCGTTAATGGTTAAGAGATTGGGCCTTGTACAAGGCCCATTTTCAAATGAAGGGAACGAATTTCTTCAACACCACGAGGCCGCGGGGGTTGCAACCTAGATAGATAGTGGTTTCTGAACCTCGCCGCAAACTTGGCTATCTCAACTCAAATCTAATGTAAAGGTGGGACAGTCCCTTTAATACAAAACCAAGACTGGCACATCATTTGGCAAATAAGCTCCTCACTCCGTTCCGCCCGTACCTGACTCTACCTGGCAGGAGAGTGTGAGCCCTCCTGGTCCAGGAAGCAGCCGCCCCAGCAGCTGTGGGCACCAGCCTCCTGCTGCAGGCTCGGCACACTGGCAGCAGCATCTCACAGAACCTGTGAACAATGGGATGAGAGAAATCAGAAAAGTCAAACTAGGTACTGGCCAGAGGCCACAGATGAGACTGAGGTCAATGTAGATGGTTTGCAAATATGAGCGAGTCGCTTATTTGTAAAACTGTCCAATGTCTCAATGATGTTATGTTGCGTCAGACCCTTCCCTGTGGTGGTTTGAATAAAGTGGCTGACTGCAGGAAGAGAAACTACCTTCACAGAAGTGCGAATATCAGACCTTTTTCTCTGAAGGCCTTTATAAATATAATTTCAGCACTGTCCACTTACCTGGTTGGGTTCCTTTTTGCGTCCGGGGAGGAAAATGGTGGAGAAAGTGAGAGAGGAAGGTACAAGGAACCCTGCATTTAAGAGACGCGCCAGTCAGTAGGAAGTTTGTGCTGTAGATTATACATGTACAAACTGACTGGAGAAGTGAGTCTCCTTCACAGATTTACAGGAAGTAATTACTTAATGCACAAAAGTTCAGCATGGAGAAATGTTTGGAACTGTCCTAGTTCTTAGTGTAGGTAGAGCTTTCACATTGGGTAAGAGTACAACGCATCATTGATATCGCGATCTAACATAGATTTAAACGTGTTGACATCGTGAGCACACACAGTTTGAGCGGGGAGGGCATTCCATACAGAAATACATCTTTGAGAGAACGAGCGCTTCCTAATGTCAGTGTTTATGGCAGAGGGAAATATTTTGTGGCAATGGCCTCGTGTACGATTCTGAGGCGGCTGTGGAAATAAATCAGCCGGAGATATACAAGATTTTCCGTTAAAGATTTTCCAGTACTGTAGAAGATCTGCACGCAGTAGCCTTCCTTGGACGGAATAGAGACGTAGGGATCGTAGACGTTCACCATAGCTCATGGTCTCCAAGCCACAAATACGCTTAGTCCATCGGCGCTGCACTCTTTCTAATAGCCTCAAATCCTGAATAAAACCAGAGTTCCAGACAGGAGAGGCATATTCAAGCACTGGTCGTATGTGAGTGGTGAGCAGGAACACCATGAACTTTGGAGATCGACACACAGTGGATTTAAGGAAGCTATAGGCCAAAGCGCCAGCTTTATGAGTAGCCATACGGATATGGTCGTGGAATTTCAAGCCAGAATCAACCAGTACACCAAGGTCGGAGGCAGAGTGGACATGAGGAATAGGTTTGCCATCTAGGGTATATGTGGGGCGGACTACATTAGTAAAGGACCTCGAGAAACGGAGGATTGAGCACTTCTTTACATTCATAAACAAGCCCCAAGAAGCAGCAGTAGAGTGAAGTCGATCAATATCTCGCTGGATTACTTCGGAAGTGGCCAGGGATGGGAGGGACCTATCGGGATAATCTACACATGCGTATAACTTCAGGTCGTCGGCAAAGATTTTATAGTTACAGGACAAGTTATATCCAATACTGTTAATATAGATTAAAAAAAGGAGGGGTCCCAGGACTGTCCCCTGGGGGACGCCACTGAGAACTTCTCTGGCACGACTATGGTGACCATCAATACAAACACTCATCGATCGGTTAGATAGGAACGAGAAAATGACCTGCAAGATACTGCCCTGGACACCTAAGCACTCAAGCTTGGAGAGGAGGAGACTGTGTACTACAACATCGAAAGCTTTACTAAAATCAAATAAGATTACGTCTACAACACGCCCTTCATCTACATGCTTAGAAACGCTGTCATAGACTAGTAGAAGCTGGTCAGAAGTGGATCTCATGGCTCGAAAACCAAACTGATGCGGAGAGAGGATCATGTGGGATTCAAGGTAATCAGTTAGGTGTTGGCAGAGGAGTCGCTCAAAGGTCTTGCAGCAAACGGAGGTGAGGCTAATCGGGCGGTAGTTTAGAGGATCGTACCTTGCGCCCTTCTTAAATATAGGGATAACCATGGATGACTTCCAGTCACTGGGTAGCTGACCTTCGTGGATGGCACGAGAAAATATCAAATGAAGGGGATACGCTAGTTGCGGGGCACAACTCTTCAGCAGTAATGGGTTGATATCATCAGGTCCCATAGCGGAATTACCATCAAGTGATTTCAGTACCTTAAGAACATGCTCCACTGGGAAAGTGATATTATCAATGATTCCCTCAAAATGTTGATGCGGAGAAGGGTTCCTCGGACAGTCTTTGGTAAAAACAGACGAGAATGAGGAGGCAAACGCCTCAACCATTTCTCTTCGGGAGAATCGGTAAGGCGACCAGAGCTGAGCAAAATAGGACCGACCGCAGGAGGTCCGACTTTTTTATTCCGGATGTACGAATGGAGGAGCTTTGGGTACTCGATTCTCGATTCTCTGCCCAATTATAAATCTATCGAAACTTTCTCCGGGTTTTTCCGCCGGATCTATTGTTTTCTGCGTTTCTCGATTTTCTCCAAACAAATATCCAAAGACAGATACTATTCAAAATTATCAATCAAGGGTAGTCGAAGCTCTCAGAACAGGCAAATGTAGGATTTGATTTGATGATACTGTTGTTTGGTGTCGACAGTAGTGACGCTTGCGTATTTCAGAACATTTTCAGATTTTGCGGCGCTTCTCACGCACTTTTTACATTCAATGGCGCACACTCATTTTTTTATAGGATTTTTTATCAATAGGATCAAAAGTAAGATATCAGCTTTTGATCCTGATTGTATCTATCCATCGTATTCTATATTGATTAGCAGGTCTTTCTTTAAGAATAATGCATTAAATTTGTGTATAACTGCTCCAACAATGCTCCCATCATGCAAGAGACTTCAACTTTGTGAACTCCAATTTTGTCAAATTGCCATAGGAATGGTTGTCATGCCATTAGTTGTGTCTGCGTGCTATATTTTAGATTCTGGTAACACTAACAGTTAAAACAATTTATAGTGAAAATTTTAAGTGTTTTGCGACTGTGATGATTATATTTGTTTCTTTGCAGAGCACTGGCCTCAAGATGAACTCTCAGACATTTTGTTTGAAGTGGGATGCATTTCAGAACAGCATCACCTCTTCCTTTGACTTGCTGCGACAAGATGAAGAGCTGGTTGATATAACACTGTGCTGTGATGGCCAGAGTTTGAAAGCCCACAGGCTAATGCTATCTGCATGCAGTCCCTACTTCAGGGAACTCTTGAAGGTGAGCTATTAGCCGCATTCATTTGTTGCTGCTCTATGTACATATTTGTGCATAATAATTACTGTAATTATGAGATATGCATTTATGTATTTATATGATATTTTGTAAAGCTAGATTATATTCCTGGGCTATTTCTGTTTAGAAGTTCATTATCTACCCTTTAACTTTCAGAGTAATTACCTAAGTATAAGAGATATAATATATAATGAGTTACGTTGCTGGTTAAATTTCTTATTCTATAGTAGTTGTGGTCAATGGACTTTATCAGGCCATTTAAAACATATGTTTTTTGTTGTTATCTGAGGATATGAATGTAATGTTAACAATGATGATGCAATTGCAGCGTTTTTCCTTTTCCAGAACAACCAGTGCCAGCACATGGTCATTTTCCTGAAGGACACTTCAGTGGCCGACCTGCAGGCAGTGATCGAGTTCGTCTACAAGGGAAGGGTGAACGTGGCCCAGAGCCAGCTGGCCAGCTTCATCAAGACAGCCGAGATGCTGCAGATCAGGGGTCTGAGCGGCGAGGATGACAAGGTGGGAAAGGCATCATGGATATGGATGCTGTCAGCATGCTATGCAATGTTCTGTTTATTAACTATGTGTTGTTCTGCTGGAGCTTCTATGTTTTTTCAACCTTCAGAAGCCTTTGCCAAGATTACTGTACCAAATGGTTGGCTGGTTACCTAGTGTGTCCAGTCCAAAATCCTAGTAGATGTAAAATCAAAGGTATGCCATTGATTGCTCTCAATGGCTGAAGGTAACTCACCTCATTCACATTCAAATACACATCAGATGCCCATCAGATCAGTAAGCTGACTGAACTCAGCTGGCAGGCCAGTCTGACTCAGCTCTCTCTCATTACAGACGTGCCCAGCCATGTCGGAGGACTGGCCTCCAGACCCGGGGAGCTGCTCGCCGCCGGTGAAGAGACGTCGCCGCCGCTCGGCCTCCCCTGCTGCCGTCCCCGGCCCCTCCCCCTCCCCGGCCGGCGCAGACCGGTGCCGGCCGTCCGAGTCGACCCTCCTGTACGGACAGCCCGACCCGGGCGCCGCCTGCTCAGCCTCCGCCGCTCCGCCGCCGCCGGAGCCCGTCAAAATCGAGAAAATCGACCTCAGCGACACGGACGGCGAGGAGGAGGGCGGCGCGCCGCTGGACAACCGGCTGGCCGGGCTGCCCGGGACCGGCGCCGGGCTCGATGGGATACCCGGGTCCGCCGCAGGGCTCAGTGGGATACCCGGGTCCGGCGCCGGGCTGGCGGAGGTGGACGGAGACGGCACGGGATTCGGCGGAGACCTGGACGGTGTGGCCGAGCTGCCCCTCCCCGCGGGAGTGATGGACGACCCGGCTGTCGACTGGCGACGAGTACGCGACCCGGCCGCCACCCAAGGTGAGCGCGGAAGGGGATATGTCACACTCCTGTCACTTAGTGACCAAAGCAAGAGTCGCCTGTTTTCCGATTTACTCTTCAATTACTCCACATTGCTTATATCGCATTGCTTATACCCAAATATCGCACATCCATGCTTACGAGTTTCGACTTGTACTGAGTACCAACTACGACTAATTATTACGACTATGTAACCCAGCAACTGATCAGTTGAAGAAATAACGTTTATTTTTGGGGAAGCATGGGTGAGGGCCAGTTGGTTACATGGAACTTGAGCAAGCAAATCACACTCATGAAACACGCGTTTGGCACAAGCGGATTGTGCGTGGTTATTAGCAAGCACGAAACCCGCATCTGCTGTTGAACTTGCCCACGGCTTCACATGTCCAGCCGACCCTCTCATTCGCTATATATCCCTTCGCCCTGCCATTGTCTGCCTCCCCCACTCGCTCACTAGTCGTCTTTCTCCTTCCCACTCCGTTGTTTTGCGTCGTGTCCCGTTCAGCGGGCTCCCAGCGCCGACATTTGCACGGCCGGCTCTGCGCCGTGCCGTGGCCGCGCCGCGCCTCCCGGGCTGTACGAGTCGCTGATCTCCCGGTAGAACGCCAGCACGAGCACGTACCAGTACCAGAGGAGCGGGCTGGCCAGCAGGCCCAGCGCCCCCAGCACGCCGCACACCACCGAGGCGACGTAGGCACTCTCGGCGGCTACCCGCAGCCCGTCCTGCCTCTGCCAGTCAGCGGTGATGGACCCCGGCCGAGGGCGTCCGAAGGTGCCGAAGGTGTTGACCGTCTCCTCGGGCGGCGCCGCCTCGGCCTGGAACTCCGAGAAGACGGCGGAGAGCACGCCGCAGCCGATCAGCAGGCCCACCGAGGCCAGCGCCACCAGCACGAACACTATGGCGTAGTAGATGAGCCAGGCGAGAGCTGCGCAGGCCGAGCGGCGGCGCACGGCGAGCAGGAGCAGCGCGTTGAACAGCAGCGAGAGCAGCACATACACCAGCTGCGGCGCGAACACCCAGCCGTAGAGCTGCGCCGCGCCGGCCGGACGCGCGCCCGACGCCGCCTGGAAGTCGCTCAGGTCGGAGGCCACCTTGGCCCAGCCGGCTATGATTCCGAGCAGGTGGACGGCGCTGAAGGACATACAGACGATGGCCACGGCCATTGCCGAGGAGCGCAGGTCCAGGCCGCAGCAGCCGCGCACAGCCATCACGACAGAGCGGAGCTCAGGGGGCGCAGAGGGAGCTGGGGGCTGCGAGCCGCTGTAGACTGACTCCTGGAGACACTGATGGACTCCTGAGGGTGCTGGTGGATCCCTGCCGCTGCTGGACTTTCGAAGATGCTGGTGGATTCCTGGTACTGACGCACTTCTTAGGACGCTGGCAAAATCTGACCGATGTTTTTCTTCTTAATTTCCGCTGATTTTGGTAGCTTCCTGCGCTCCTGCAACCGATGATGGGGTCTTGCAGACGCTGAAGGAGACCGCTGTCGACCTTTGCAGGTAGTCGCACCCCCTGTCTTTCTGCTCAGTTCCTGTAGCAGCGGGTGTCACTGTCTGACCGAGCTGCTTCGTCCACTGACCCCGGTCGGGCCGCTGCTGGCCTTTTCACCGCTGTGCCATTGAGAAGGGCACGGACCGATCTGCGGAGGGGGGATGCTGCGGTCGCACTATCTGCTATTCCTTCCGCCGAGTCTGCAGGGCCAGTTCCGGCGGGTTATCGGCGCCCCGGAAACTCTGGCGACACGAGTGTGGCACGGCTGAGATTGGGGAGCTGGAGGGAAGAGGGATGGAAAATCGGGCCGGGCTGGAGAGAGGGGGAGAGGGAGGGGTGGAAAACCAGGCCGAGGGGATCAGGGAAAACCGCGCCTTTGAGTGGGCTGGTACGCGCGTCGCGCATGAAAATGGCGGGAATTCCGGCGAACTGCAAAGCGGAAACAAACTTACTTCACCGTACTTTGATGTGCCAACTGATGGCTGCTACAAATTAAGGCGACGCTCGGAGAAAAGGCCGTACTTTGGGGCCGCTGCTACCTCTGTGTCCGGAGGGTGTTACTGTGTACATAGACTCCCTCTTACTGGACTGAAGCCTTCCGCAGCCCGGACGATGTCGCTCAGGCCAGTCAGCTCGCTATGGAAGAAGTCCAAACTGCTGGTTTTGTAGCGGTGACTGCGGAGCGTAAGGTATCTCGAAATCAAGATTGTACAAGATTGTAGTTGTACCACTATCGCAGGTGTAGCGATGCAAGTGAGATATTGTCGGGAACACTCAGATACGCGTAGGGAACTGCTGCGATGGCTGGTATTTGCCGCCAGTGCTCTTGATTCAGTCACTGTTCATGGCCTCTCAACTTCGAAACGGAATGCTTCTCTTGTCGCCGCACCTGCTTTCACGAAATGTTGTCGGCCGGTGTGCGGGTGATGCCAACAATTGTTTAGCACAGAGCCGCGGCGCTGGTAGCCGCCCACCTCAGGTAGTGCAGCTGCCACCTGCCAGCTTCGCCCGCTCTGCCAGGGCCGCGCTGATGAACCGCACCCCGCTACGCCGCTGACAAACCTGTGTAGTAGCGGACAAAGTATGCCGCCAGAAGATGGATAGCCTGTTCTTGTTTATGTATGTATATTGTTTGTTTTATGAAGATGCGTAGACGAGTATTGTCGACGACCCCATGGATGTCTGACGTGTTGTGCGAGTGTTTCTCCCCTACCCGCATACTTGCTACCTATGACTCGGATTTAAGTCGTAAGCGCTTAGATCCGAGTCAAAGGTATGTATGTATGTATGTATTGATCGTATGTATGCATACCTATATGTATGTATTGACATCAAAGCTTTCACGCTGTATGCGGGAGGCTTTTGATGTAAATACATGCATTATATATGCATGTATACCTACCCACCTATTTACATTCATACATACATACATAAAACTTTGAACTTTATTTTAAGCACTTCATTTGAGAGGTGATCTCGGCGTTATTTTGTGTCCCTCCCTCGCACCGGATACAGTAACTGTCGTGTATCTCACTAACTCGCCCGTCTCCCGCTCCCTTTCAGACTCTGGCGGCGCCGTGCACCGCTGCCCGATCTGCTGCCGCGGCTACTCCAACGCCCGCTCGCTCGAGTACCACAAGAAGATGCACGCCGGCCTGACCACGTGCGCCCTCTGTGGGAAGGTGACCAGCAAGGTGGAACACCTGCGGAGACACCTGGAACATGTGCACAAACTGACCCAGCAGGATATACGGAGCATCGTGCCCACCCGGGACAAGGCCAGGCCGCCGGCCCGGCTGGTCTGAGGCGCGGGGGCTAAGGGGAGGTTCCTCTGAGGGTAATCAGTCGGGGGGGGGGGGGAGGAGAGTGACGGAGAATATGTTCTATGTGATACTCCACCGGGAAGTATAGGGCCGTTTAGCAGTTACCGATCTGAGTGTCACTCGCGGTATTGTGATGTGCTTAAAGACGGTTATTGGGGACCTATAGTCACCTGCGGCTGGAACGCGGCTCTCTCAGACCATAAATAACGACATTAGATGCTGGAGGCACATATCCTGTCCGTCACATAGGGAAAATATGTGGGTTGATATGAAGTATGGAGGATATCATCAGTACTCGGTGATCGTGTGGGCCGTCATTGTTCGTCAAACGGCAGTGGCGCATAGCTCGTGATTCTTGACTGTACAATATTGTGTTAATTGTGTTCCAAGGCACGCGGGAAGGGCGTTGGACTGAGTTTGGACAGACATCCGATCGCTCTGGTGTGAGTGGATGTGATGTGATGTGAACCTAGTCAAGTCCAGAAGGTATCGTGGGTGAAATTCCACCCAGTGTTAAACTGATTGCGGGGGGGGGGGAGGGGCGATGATATTGTCATCCCGTGAAGGGGAGCTTCACAAAGCTAACCGAAGTTATAAAACAAGACGTGTTATTGTGTACCACCTAATGTCATTGCTTGCTGAACAAAACAGGAGCTGTCGCGTCACCTGGTGGCCGAGTCAGAACTGTGTGTTGGCTCTTCCCTCACTAGATGGCACTACGTGCCCCTGAGGCTCTGCTGTTGTGCGGTATGTCCGTGGAAATGATCGTTTAGTTGGATTTTGATCCGTGAATGTTTCACTGCAATATCCATTGTCCAGTCATGTTTGCTTTCTCTTATCTAAAGCTGACATTTATACCATTGTTTCGTATTTTGTTTTTCATCAACAAGACCTTACGAAGCGCTGAATTGTGACCCTTGCCTACGAAGGCAGCTAGCTGTAAACAAACACGAGATACCCGTTGCTGATGAGATTGACAATAAGCTATTCTTCTGGTTTTTATTAACCGTATGAATAATGCAATACTTGTCACCATTATGCGTTTTCCTAGTATTTAGTCCTATAATAGTCGACGTCAAGGAGTTTGCACGCGAATCTGTTAGCAGCATCGTCGTCGTCTGGGTACGCTCAACGAGCTGCTATTTGCTGTATTCTGATCAGTTATCAGTATCGCCGTCGTCTGGGTACGCTCAACGAGCTGCTATTTGCTGTATTCTGGGATCTCTGACCTTGTGGCCGGTGACTTGACCCAATGTGACCCAGTTGTAAATGGTCTTGAGGCCTCTGTGTATCTGTGATAGGTAATGGAGTGGATCATATTATGCATAAATCGACGCCAATTATGTGATTTGAAAGATCTTATCTGGGATTCAAGCTGCGAGTGGTTTTGCAATGTTTTCTAATCGACATAATGGAACTGTTCAGGCCACGATATAAAACGATGCGGCGATGGGATTACTCGAAAATTGCTTCAGTGAATGGCAGCTGACAGATGCTTTTATTCGGCATTTGACCACATTTACCGGCTCACATGTCACCATGGTCTCTTGCTACCACGCACGCACCAAATACCCATATAATGCACGTACCTATATTGGACCCACGTACCGAACTGGGAAAAAAGCTTGATTGACGGCCAAATGTAGCTCGTAGAATCATTGAGAGCGCAGCCCGTCAGTGCAATCGTTAGGTATATGTACGGCTTTCTCAGGCGAAGCCCACCGCGCGGTCGTAGACCATATTCAGCATGTAAAATGTTTGTCAATCCACGTCCCTCCCCTCTCTGAGCTGTTCTAATTTATCAGAGAGAAGATATATCTGAGCCAGCCCGTAGGACGGAATTGTCCAATCAGTCCGATGATCGCCGATCGACAGCCAATAACGCCAGTGACTCGAAGACAAGCGTGTACGTTTGACAAGTGTATTGGACACATTGTACTGGACATCGGGCACATTCAGCATCGAGATCCGTCCGCATCTCGAAACTACCCTCATTACAGGAGCGGGGATAAGGCGCAACGGTCTGGAGCGGACAGGCTGACCTCTCCTGAGCCTCACAACAGCACACTGTAGAGAGTTCTCTACCCCATTAACGGTAGCACACGGACAATGAAGCTGCTTACATCTGGAGTTTCCAAATAGCTCAGTGGGACAATCTGAGTCAAGGAACAGAGAGAAATCTGTTCCAAAGTCAGTAGCACCGAAACAGCACTGGATTGGTACGGGAGGCGAAAGGAGGAAGGCAATCGCTGGCCCACGGCCAGCGCTCGCACATCGTGGAACAATGAGATGACAGACGCGGATACATACATTCCATGCAAGAGATGCAGGGAAGATGGCCACACATGCCCACTGTACAGTTCGCTCACAATGCACAAGATATTGCTGATTCGCCCTATATCTCTATCGTACGTTGCGATGCTGTACGGCCACCTACAACTACGTACATACACTTCACTACGTACATACACTTCACTTCTGAGTCGGGTCGCAGGCGTCTCAGCTACGGTGCTGTCCAGCAGTACAACCAGCTGCCATTCGACACAAACACTCGCCACTTCAAATCAACCCTGAGACGCTACCTACTCAGAGAACTGTATGGCTGACCTGATCAAGTATCGCGGTGTATTGTATTGGCCTGAATGTATTTTACCTCGTATGTTTTCAACCTTTGACGTGTGACGATGAAAAACCATATTCGATGGATTCGTTATGAAATATATTCTGATTCTGATTCTGATTCATATACCTACATACGTACATAAAGACTATGTTGCTTCAACCGCTAACACATGCCACTGAACTGCAGAACGCTCGTAAGTTTCGAAAGATCACTCTTTTTTCTCTCGCTTTTTTCGCGAAACTTCAAAGTAACAATTTTTCTACATTTGAATAAAACCAAAATCGTACAGTGCCATTTTTTCCTGGACTAGCACCGTTTGATTTTTTTACAGGACGCGAAGTATTCTAGCTAGGAGAAGTAAAAAATAATACACACCACCGCAGCCCACACTTTGTCTTTAAAACAGTTTGCGTTATAAACCATTGTACGACAATTCTGGGTGGGATCAGCATTCCTCGACTCTTCAAACAGTGCACCTCTGGATCTGACTCGTCATAGCTCAAACAGCTTAAGGACGCTTCGTGCCGTGAACATATACGATACACTTAAACACGCCTCCGTTACACAACAGTTACGCCCATGAAACGCCGCGCGGTCGGCCGTAGTTTGTCCGATCCAGCGTTGTGACGCGGGCCGCGGAGCACCCTCCGTCTCTGACGGCGGCGTCTACTTTTTCTTGTCTTTGATGCAGCGTGGACAGAACCACTTTCCGCGGGGGCTGGAGGTGAGGCCGACGCAGGAGAAGTGGAACCACTCGATCGGACAGTCGGGGTTGTCGCAGCCCACCATGTCGCCGTAAGACACCTGTGGAGGGGGCCGGAATGTCACTGTAAGATACATGGCGAAAACAAACACCACATTCATCACAGACAGAGACAAACACCACCAGAGTTTCATTGTAAGACATACACAGTGTCACTATAAGAGGCTTGGTGGAAGAACTAACAGAAACTGTCACCGCACAACTACTGGAAGGGTGAACGAGGATTCTGTCACCGAGCTCATCTTGGTAGGCACCTGTCCTCCAGTGACAATTCGAGGAAAACATCTCGAAACAGCCGTGTAAAAATAAAGTGTGTGAGACTGTTATCATTCAGGGGATTCCAGCCCCGCTCACGCCCCCACCCCGGTGTCGAGCTCTGCGCCCCCACCCCGGTGTCGAGCTCTGCGCCCCCACCCCGGTGTCGAGCTCTGCGCCCCCACCCCGGTGTCGAGCTCTGCGCCCCCACCCCGGTGTCGAGCTCTGCGCCCCCACCCCGGTGTCGAGCTCTGCGCACCCACCCCGGTGCCGAGCTCTGCGCACCCACCTGGTTACAGAGGCAGTAGGTGGGCTCGTTGGGGTCGACCGGCATGTCCAGCCCGTCCGTGGAGACCGGCTGGGTGGGATTGATGAGCTGCCGGATGGCCGCCTCCACCTCCACCGGGCTCTTGATGGCCTTCGAGTAGATCGGGTCCTCCTCGGCCGCCTTCCGAGACTTCTTGCTGCTGGCCTTCTTTTTGGCGGGCCGCCGGGCGGGCGGCTCGGCGGCGCGCGCGCTGTGGCTGCCGGCCTGGATCTGCTCCTCGAAGGCGGCCAGGTCCACGTCCAGTTTCTGGATGTAGCGGTCCACCAGCTCGTACGTCTTGGTGGCCAGCGCCACGTTGTTCTCGCCGTGTTTGCGGAGTTTCTCGTACATCTTGAGCAGCCCGTCGGGCGGCGGCGCCGACGGGTCCGGCAGCGAGGCCAGGTACCGGTCCGACTTCTCGTCAATCAGGCGCTGCAGCGCGTCGCACTTGGTGTTGCGGTCGCGGATCATGGCGAAGTTGTGCTTCAGCTCCTGCGGCAGGTTCTCGAGGCTGTCCAGCAGCGACTCGCCCGTGCCCCCGGTGGCCATCGCTGTTACGCTGTCCTTTGGGGCTGACTGGTTGGATGCAGCACTGGTGGTGAATGGCTTCACTCAGCCACCGATTCTGCTGGTAAGTTTGAAGGTTTCTGATACAGAGGCAAGGAAGATTGCATGAATATTTTCAATGAAAATATCTTCGGTACTGGATCAACAGCAAGCCATCTTATACATGTAACTTATGACTTCTGTCAAATTCTGTCTTAGTTTATTCAAATTGTTCTGAAAAAAGGAAAACAGAATTGAGTAAAACATTACTTTGCATATGGTAAGGCATGAGCATCAGCAATCTTTGAGCATACAGAAAAATAATATGTCAATTTGACAGTGGGCATGATTAAGGTAGGTACTTGATAAATGATATGAGTTGATGACTGATAAGCAGGCAGGCAGGTACAGGCAGGCAGCACTTTTGGGGCCAATGGTAAAAGGGTCCATACTACATAGAATAGACTTCAAGCCAAACAGATAAACTAGGTTCTGGGCTGCACCATGTAACTGCTAGGGAGAGGTAGAGGTAGCTACAGGACATCTTAAAATTGTCAATAGCTTGTAGTGTAAAATGAGTATAAAATGCCACAAACTTGAATAAAATTTCAAACATCAAACAAACAAACATAATATACCATATTACAATAATATTTACTGAGGATTCGCAGACAACCAAGTCCAAATAGTAATCAAAATAAGTATCTGGAGTGCAGAGTATGAAAAACACTGAAAGAAAGCATTTTGTGACACATCAATCTCTTCAGAGCAAAAACAGGACACCCTCAAAAGTAGGCAGTAGCGAAGGTATTACAATTCATAAACACAATCAAAATACCCATCAACTCTTCGAGTTTTGGAATAAGTAATAAAATGGACGCAAGAATAGACCTAGTCTAATGACAGTCCATTAATCTAAACTTAAACTTAAGTCATCCACCCCAGATCCAGCCCAAAAAATGCACAACCTTGACCTTACGCATACAGCTTCCATACAGAAACAAATAAAAATTATGAGTCAGTTGGGCAAACTAGACCTTTGGAATCAAAATATGGAGGCATCAAAAGATTGATTCCTTATGACCATATTTGGGCATAAATGCAGACCATTTCTAACTTACCAATCACATAAAAATAAGAGAGTGTTTCAAGAAGGAGCATACAAGCATTTACATCAAAGACAATCTGAAAGCATCTGTGGTCAACTTTGGCATGACAACTCATATTGAGCAGCTCTGGTTGCAACTCCCACTGATGGGAAATGACAAGCTTCTGATTGGATGCCTATACCGCAGTCCAACCCTGAGCACACAAGAGAGTTCCACTGAGCTATGTCAACTTTTGCGTACAGCCTGTACTTCAGCCTGTTCCCGTATTCTCATATGCGGGGACTTCAACATGCCCCACATTGACTGGGAGAATGTCTTCTCTCCTGCTCCTCCTTTGGATGTTTCACACCAGTTTCTGGAAGTGATAAATGATTGCTTCCTCACTCAGCAAGTCACTCGACCCACTCGCTTCCGTTCAGGTGAGACGCCCCACATCCTGGACCTGATCCTCACCAATGAAGATGGGATGGTAAAGCACCTTTACCATGAATCAGGCCTTGGAAGGAGTGACCATGTCATCCTGCGGTTCGATCTGGCATGCTACACATACCAACATGAGTTCCCCTCTGCTCGTCCCAACTACTTCAAAGGAAACCCAGACAAGTACATCAGGCTGGTCCAGGAGTTGGACTGGGAGTCAGCAGATGCACTCGGTATCGACCAAAAGTATGACTTCATTACCAGTAACCTCACCAGGATTGCTCTGGAATGTTTCCCGAAAAGTAAGAGAAAAGGAAGCCGTAAGAACATCTACATAAATGGGCAGGCTCTGCGCCTAAAAAAGAAGAAAGAGAAGCTATGGAAGATATACTCTCACTCCCAGGATGTGTTGGACTATTGCAGGTACACTCAGTGCAGAAATCAACTGCGTGCGCTGACAAGAAGACTGAGACGTGACTTTGAGGAAAAGCTAGCAACGAACATCAAAGCCAATCCAAAGGCTTTCTGGCGGTATTCCAACACAAGGCTGCGGACCAAGACCAAGATCGATGACCTTTCTGATGACTCAGGGCGGACTGTGAGCGATGACACGGGAAAGGCGCAACTCCTGAATGCTTTTTTTCAGTAGTATATTCACTGACGAAGATACGACCGAGATCCCGGAACCGACAACCAACTTCTCAGGTCCTCCAATCGAGTCAATCCGCATAACAGCTGAGGCAGTCCGGAACAAGCTTTCCTCTCTCAAAACGGACAGCACTCCCGGTCCCGATGGTTTGCACCCCAAGCTTCTGCAGTTGGCGTCTCAGCCCCTGGCTGGTCCATTGGCTTCCCTGTTTGAAGCTTCCCTCGACCAAGGAGTCCTTCCAGCCTCATGGAAAACAGCGTCAGTCTTTCCCATACACAAGAAGGGTAACAAGCAGACCCCGGGGAATTACCGGCCCATCAGTCTCACATCAATCCCTTGTAAGGTCATGGAGTCCCTGATCCGCGATGAGCTCATGGACTTTCTGTTCCTCACAAACCAGTTTTCCAGACACCAACACGGATTCCGGCCCAGAAGATCATGCAGTTCACAACTTCTGGAGGTATTGGAGGACTGGTGTAAGATGATCGAGGAAGGTGACTCAGTAGATGTGGTGTACCTGGACTTCCGCAAGGCATTCGACGCTGTTCCACACAACCGACTTCTGAGGAAGCTGCGCAGCTACGGTATCTCTGGCAAACTCCTCCGATGGATCGAAGCATTCCTGTCGGGAAGAAACCAGAAAGTCGTTGTCAATGGAAGCCACTCTGATCTGGTTCCTGTCAAGAGTGGAGTTCCTCAGGGTTCGGTTCTTGGTCCCCTCTTGTTCCTGCTGTACGTCAATGACATCCCATCTGCCGTTAACTGTACATCCAAGATGTTCGCCGACGACACAAAGGTCTACAGCGGCGTATCCAGGCAGAACGGCAAAGATGGCCAGGATGTTGCAACTGAGGCCGTGGGGCTGGCTGTCGCTCGTCCCCGAGCTGTCAGTGACCACCCTACTCGACCAGTGCAACCTGTTGGCGGTGGGCAGAACCAGAGCGGCAGACATGCCCAACTCGTGGCAGCTGGGGTTGGGCTTGGAGGGTTGGCTGTCGCTCAACCCAGAGCTGTCAGTGACCACCCTACTCGACCAACGCAGCCTGCCGATGGAGGACTGAACCAGAGTGACAGAGATGACCATCTCGAGGCAGCTGAGGTTGGAGGGCTGGCTGTCGCTCAACCCAGAGCTGTCAGTGACCACCCTACTCAACCAATGCAGCCTGTTGATGGAAGACAGACCGCTACTCGACCTCAAACCTCCCTACTGGCTGATGGAGCAGCGACTACATCGGGAGCGCTAGCCCTCCAAGCTGATATTGATGCACTTGTGGCATGGTCTGACAAATGGCAGCTCCCGTTCAATGAAGAGAAGTGTAAGGTTCTGCATCTGGGTACAAATAATCCCAAACTCCGATACACGATGCGAGGAGTGTGTCTGGAAGAGACTGAATCTGAACGGGACCTTGGCATTCTGGTAGACTCCTCCCTAAAATTCCGGAGGCAAGCATCCGCAGCCGTGGCAAAGGCCAACCAGATCTTAGCAGTGATCAGGCGGTCGTTCGAATCGATTGATGAGTGTACTCTTCCCCTGCTATACAAGACTCTCGTTCGCCCTCACCTGGAGTACGGCAATGTGGCTTGGGGCCCATTCAATCGAGCTGATCAACTTCTAATCGAACGAGTCCAAAGAAGGGCAATCCGCCTGGTAGCCTCTCTCAGACACCGCCGGTACGAGGAACGACTGGAGGCACTGAAACTGCCATCGCTGTTTTATCGGCGACGCCGAGGAGACATGATCCAGGTGTACCAAATCTTTCATGGAGGGGTTGATCTGGCTCCAGAAGAGTTCTTTACTGCCGCTGCATCCGACCGCACCCGAGGCCATCCATGGAAAATCGCAAAACCCAGAGCTGAGTCAAGACCAAGGAGACAGGCTTTCAGTGCCCGGGTGGTCAATGACTGGAACGGCCTGCCCATGTCAGTTGTTGGTGCCGGCTCTGTTGAGCAGTTCAAATCCGAACTCGACGCCCACTGGGCAAACTTCAGGTACCTGGTACCTGACTGGAGATAGTCAAGTCTCAAAGGATTCGAGCTCGATGAGAACGGTTCCCTACAGGCCAAGTGGCCTTTAAAATTCCGATCAAATTAAGGTAAGGTAGGTAAGGTAGCATGCCTGATCTTGAACAGAAATGCTGGAACTATCTCCTAAGCAAAATAATATTGCTCCTATCATAACAATTTGAATTCTATAGGTAGTGAAAGGCAATCAAGGAATTGATTCACTTTAAACAGATAATCATAATATTGATTCCCCATCAGCTGGCTAATCATTATTTTGATTCACAGGTAATGTTAAGAGATAGGCAACAATGACTTGCAGGAATACATCATTTATCTTGCTACTATTCTCATTTAGTGGTATCCTCAGCACCACAACAGATACCTATAGCATTGTTGTAGTTAACCTTCACTACATTTGATAACAATTCACAATTTTTAAATGTCAAGAATACAAAAACTGAAGCAACAGGTAAAAACCATATAATAAATATAAAAGCACTACAACAATGATAATAAGGTGTTTGAAAAATTCATTTTGCTATTTTACACAAATACTGATTGTTTAGTATGCAATTCATGATACAAAAATAACACACAGTGTGATTTCCTCAAAACAGCTTTTACGTGATGGACAGTGGCTCTGTCTTTATCTCATTCACAAGGCCAAAGGGACAATTTCTTAGTTTTGAGGTAACACTTTTTGGAAAGCTACCACATTTTTCTAAGAAAAAACTCACCGTCATGGGCCTTTTTTCAACCGTAACGATACATTTGAAGTCAAAAGTGTACCAAAATGAATCAAAAAATTGATTCCATGCCCATATTTGGTCATGGCTCCTCCCACCAGAATCAAATTATTGATGCCTCCATATTTTGATTCCAAAAGTCTAGTTTGCCCAACTGGAGTGGGCGGGGGTCCGAACTCCGAACACCCGCAATCCTGGTGCCTGGCACAGCCTGTCGTTGACCATAGCTAAGTAACCACTGACACATTTGACCTTTGCAAAAAATACAAAATACACGAAAGTGCATGTTGATTGATGGTCACTCTAGAAAGAAGGTGCCAAGATAAATGCAAAATGAACTTTGTAAAACTACATTCATTGCCAGCTATATTGACTTCTAAAAAGCAGGTGTGAGAACAAAAGCAAAATTCCTCTTGAAAGTGAGTGTAGGACTCGCTGGAAAATCATACAAAAATTAGCTACAGCACGAAAATAACGAAATAGCCTGACTGTGCCCAACTGTTGATGTTTTGGCCTTGGCCCATCAACAAAAGAAACCCCAACGAGAAACAAAATGAAAGAGAAATCTGTTCTAAAACAGAAAATACTGTCTACAGCAGCCAGCAGAACGGAAATCCGATGAAGTGATTTGTTATTGTTCCGTGATTGTTTGCAGAGAAGACGAACAACCAGAAATTCTGAACAAATAGAACAGGATCTTTTTGTCGACAACTCTAACGCAGCTAGAACCTATTTGACGCAGTTATTCTCGCGGCGTCAACACTTCTCGAGCGGAGTCCGTCCGTGAGGGGTCACGTTGCGTTGCCAAGGGTTTGTGGTCGTGACCTACTTTACTACCGGTTTGATCTCGTGGACGCCTGAAGAGCAAAAGAAAGCAGAAAAGGCTATTTTTCTCTTGGTGAGTACCAAATGGATCTTTATGGAAGCCTCTGATGTGACATTCGTAGGTAACGGTGCTTTGAAAATTGAAATGACCTCTGGTTTGGTTGAAGTGGTGAGTTGCTGTCCTGTCTGTAGAATCCACGTGTCAATGCAGATAATGCCTTCTGCTTTGTTTTTCTTATCCATAGTTAAAATACAGTTGTAATCCTAATGGTGACCCAAGAATAGAATATATCAATATGCTGAAACATAGCATCAGGGCAATGACCCGTCAGCTCAACTCACCTGTTCAACTCAACTCACCTGTTGGGTTTCCTTGACTCACCAGTGCATGAGGAGAGGCAGGAAACCGTGTAGGAAAGAAACGCGCCAATTCCCCTGGTTACGCTGGGCGCTGAGAGATGGACCGCAGGGGATTGGGGTAGTGCGTCTGCTTGGAGTTGGGGGAGGAAAAATTCTAGATGTGATTAGCTGTGCGGTATCAGTTCAGTAGGTACGGGGACCCGCAGTTGCTACTGTACACGAACCCCAACTATAGCCGTCTGTCCTGTCCAGTAACAACCGACAACATTGATATCGACTGCCGGTCCCTGTACAAGAGCAGCTGAGGTTTTCTGTGCGTGCCCTCTGACAGCTTATCGTTGTTCCCTGTGAGGGTGCTGGGACAATTTGCTCAGGGTCGCTGTACAGTAGCAACTGCGGGTCCCCGTACCGGCTGTCACGGTACTGTTTGATTCGCTCCTTCGCGGAATCTGGAGTGCGCGGCGATGATCAGTAGAACCTTGCAGGAGAGATCAGACGATGTAGTCGAACAAACGATCACCAAGAACCTTCAGGAGTGATGACTTGAACTCGGCGAGGGAAGTAGAGGTGACCGTCGAGTCGGGCAAGGCGTTCCACTCGTTCACGACGCGTTCCGAGAAGAAACGTGATCTCGTCCAGTTGGCAGCGCCGGACTGTGATTTTCAATTTTGAGTTGATGACCTCGGGTGCGGCGTTCGGAGGACAATTCCCAGAGATCTGACGGCTTGATGGGACCGGGGCTGTGGAAGATTTTCCAGCATTTGATGAGGTCGGATCGGATCAGTCTGCCCTTCACAGAGAAGAGGTTTAACTGTCTCAGGCGGTCACCGTACTCCATGTTTTGCAGGCCTTTGATGTGACGAGTCCATAGTCGTTGGACCGCCTCGAGTCTTCTGAGGTCATCGATATATCCTGTGTTCCATACAACAGAGGCGTATTCCAGAACTGGACGGATGTGGGTGCGGAGGATGTGCAGCATGAAGTCTGCATCCCTACACAAGGTTGCTTTCAAAAAGCTGTGTGCCACTCCTCCAGCCTTCCTGGCGGCAGCTCTAGCCTGCTCATGGAACCTTAGACTGTCATCGATGATCACGCCAAGGTCGGAGTGCGATTCGGTCCAGGGAAGGGCAGAGTTATTCAGATAGTAACTCGGTCTTGGTGATTTATGGAATTTCCGTTGGAACCTCATGAGGACGCACTTCTTCGAGTTCAGCGAAAGGCCCCACGATGATGCTGTGGCTTGGAGACGATCGATGTCCGACTGAAGACTTTTGGCGTCGAGCTCGGACTTGTTCCCACACATGTATATCTTCAGGTCGTCTGCGAAGATTTTGTAGCGGCTGTGCAAACCGATGGCTATGTGGTTGACGTAGATCAAAAAAAGGATCGGACCTAGAATCGATCCTTGGGGTACTCCGCTCCGTACTTCCTTCGATGAGCTCAGAGTGCTTTTGACCACTAGGTACTTGCATCCTTCGATGAGATAGGAAGTCCTGGAGCCAGTCAAGGAGTTGTCCGCCGAGACCAATACATCGGAGTTTCTCGAGGAGGACTGAGTGGCACACCGTGTCGAAGGCCTTGGAGAAGTCGAAAAGAATAAGATCGACGAGGCATCCGTTGTCCCAGTTGCGCGAGACGAAGTCGTACGTCAGTAGAAGCTGGTCTTCAGTAGAGCGGCCCGACCTGAAACCGAATTGATGGTCAACAAGAAGGTTGTGACCATCCTGATTCACTGACCCATTCTGATTCACTTCTATTCTCCAACAATATTTTCAACAACTTAAGGGTCAGGAATTTTATCAGATTTATTTTGCCATCATCATGTTTCTCACATTTAGACACATCAAATAAACTGCAATTCAACCTGGAAAGGTGAACTACAAAAGTTGACCCTAGGTCAAGGTCAACTTCACAAGTAAACTTCAGGCCAAGGTCATGACATGACTTGAAAAGGTAATGCGGCATAGAAACAAATTCATATTGATGACATGAACTCATTCCATGTGATTTCATTGCTCCAGCATGACTTCATCAAAAGTTATTGTAAAAAAAAACTTGGTGACCTGTCATGGACATGACATGACCCCTGTAGTGAGCTATGGGCTATGGCCATGAGCTGCACCCTGTCCATTGCACATGGGCAGAATGGTCATGTTTCTTTAAGTATCTTGTGGTCTCGACATGTTTGTTCAAAGTAGGAGGCAATTGTAAATGTGCATATTTTGCCCTCATTGCCTTACAATGGTAAGTTCAAAAGTCTAACGTGACCCCAGGTATCAGGCATGAAAAATCTGAAATGTAAAAATTGTTAGTATCAACAAAGTTTGCCAAGAGATCTAATACTTTGTCTTATTTCGTTCGTCGTGTTCCAAGCCCTTGTTGGCTTCCATGGATCTGTTACGATAATCGAAGCTTGTTTTCATACTGTGTCGTATCGTTCTTTCACTTTAGTTGCCACTTGCCTGTTGTCATCTTGGGATTATTTTCAGCACTTGTTTTGTTTCAGTTCACAATGGATTCTGTTAATACCATTAAAGACAAAATATCGGCGATTGGTGAGTCCCGTCTGACTAATGACCAGCGTATCTATTACGCTTTTGGCTGTGATTTTAACTAACCTACTGGTTGCTGACTGCATCATGCGGTTCTGCTTTCTGTTACACTGCAAACACGGCGCTGAAAGGGTCACCTTTCTGTAGAAGACGCATGCTTTGGGCTGTACAGTGTAGGGCTCCAAAGGGTCTTGTGCACACGGAATGAGGAATGGGAGCATTTCCAGGGTTCAAGAGCTATGGATTTTTTGTTCTGTTCTCTAACCCACGGTACGTGGACCGGTCTGTCCGCTGTCGGTCGCATGTCCGGAGTAACCCGAAGTTGTGGAGGTGAGGGGCGCCTGGTTTGGGGCTGTGGAAAACGGTGCCAGACCTACTGCACGGACATGACATTATTTGCATGGATGGGCCTCGGGCGGGCTTCATGGCACTAATCTTCGGTACGCAGACTGCCGTTACCGACTTGTGCTGCGCCAGTGTGCTGCGGTGGTGTCATTGTGTTCAAGGGCCGGTTATCAGGACCAATATGCTGGTCTGCTGGGCTGCTGTGGAAGCTAAACTAACTGGTAGCCCGATATCGGTCTAGCTCGGTAAGCCAGAGAAATGGCCCTATTTTGGGTCATATACTTGAAATGTGTAGGGTATCGAGGCGTGCTTCCGATTCAAAGTCCGAAGATTATGAAGGTTTCATCCTTTCTTTTTAAATCATCTTTAAGGCCTTTTGAAGAAAAGGAACGCATGCTAGCACCTTCATAGTGTTTGAATGACATGCTGTTTTTTTTTGTTGTTGTTGACATACCAAACAATCTCCGCCTCGTCACGCTGCCTGGCTGGGCGGATATGCCGGGGCCACGAACGTAGCGAGTGGGGCCATCGCCGGGTGATGTGTCACTCCTGAGTTCGTCACTCATGTCGCGAGTATTTACACCCCCGTACCGCCGCGAGTATTTACTCCCCCTCCCCCTGCTACACCCCTCCCTCGCCGTCACCTACCCCCGGACTTCCCGGCTTACACCTTATCGTACGGCTGCCCCGGACGTTGACTCCCGCAAAGGCCAAGGGTGGGGCGCGTCTCGCCACCTCATATCGGCGTTACTTTCCGCTTCCGCTCCCCCTCGGTGGCTCTGAGCCCCTCCCTCCCAATATCTCTGGGTTCCCTCCCCCCGGCTGTGTTTCCCAGCCCCTCCCCCCCCCACACACACTCCGCGGGAATCCTCCTGTAGTCGCCGTCTGGCCGTCCTGGTGGCGGCTGTGTGTGGGGCTGGGCACGCCAGGCACCCCGGCCGCCTGGGCCATTGACGCGGGTATTGATCCGTATAATTGTGTCCCACACCTGGTGATTGGCGCCGGTCTCCGGATAGTCTTATGTGTCGGGCTGGCGATGTATATCCCGCGGCTAGTCGTGTGTCTGACTGTCCGTGTGTGTCCGTGTGTCCGACTGTCCGCGTGTATCCGGGTGATCGTGTTTGTCGGGCTGTCCGCGTGCCCGGCTGGTCGGCGAGCCGTGTATGTCTGCGTCTGTCCGGTGTCTTGACTGGTGTTTTGTCTGGTGTCTTGTCTGGTGTCTTGTCTGGTGTCTGTGCTGTGCGTGTCTGGCCGGTGCTGTCTGCCCGGTATCTGTCCACTGTTCAGTACCTGTCCGGTTAGCTGTGCCTTCCGGCTGTCTGTGCGACTTTTCGTTGTTTGTACAGTAAATGTAGGCCGTATGTTGCCCAGGTCTGTCCGACTGTCGATTTTGCAGGGGACAGCCACTTGATAGGTTCGTACATTCTGCTGACCTACAGACTGTATGCGGGCTGCGCTGCTGCGGGCCGATCGTTTGTCAGTTGGTGATATTTATTGGCTTAGGGAACGTCGGTCGCTTCACGTATCCGAAATTATTTCCCTGAATGGACTTTGAATTTTTAATTACCATAGGATGGCGTTATGGCATTGGAACATCAGTTCAATTATGCACGGTTGATTTGTGCGACCTACTCCAGTATGACTATTAACAAACCAGGAAGCGCGGTTGTCTGGGTGAAGTTGGTGGTCTTTCATTTGCAGGACTCTGACAGTGATCGATGCCAGTTGCTTGTGTTTATCAGTATTGTATTTTCCGGTGTGTTGCGGGCCTCATCCGGAGCTCAGTGAAGGTCCTGCGCCGGCCCATCCTCTGACCGGATTACGGTATTATGCGGGCTGCGCGGTCCTGAATCGATCATGGGAACTCTGGCAGCCTGTCCCTCCCCTCCCACGCGATGGACGGGTGCCACACTCGAACCCCGTCCGCGGGGCCCACGCGAGGCGCACGCGTCTTCCACGCCGGCGACGCTGGCCGCCCACTCGCCGTCTGGGCGCGGTGGGCGGAGCCTGCGTGTGACGTCACGGTGGGTCGGGACGCGCCCCCGGGTCGATCGCAGGCCGCGCGCTGATTGGTCGATCGCCGCTCGGGCCACTAATCAGCTGAGCGGCGATCGATCCGCCGCCGGCGCACTAAGGGCGAGAATCGCCTGCGCCCGGCCTCCGCAGCACACAGACGTGTCCGTGCCGCCGCCGCCGCCGCCCGTGTGTCTCCGTGACGCTGTGACGCGAGTTTCGCCCCGTGACACCGGCCAGGTCAGGTCAGGTCAGTGTCGGTGTTGGAGCGGACGTGCTGTTGTATCTGCGGGTACATCTTGATCCCTCGACTGATATATACTTTCGTCGGACGCCCTGCGGCAGAAGTACGTTGGTGGCTCCGTTTGTTTACCTATTGCTGTATCCAGGCGTGCACGTAAGGGCGTGTCTCTTTATCACCATTTATGCTGAAAAAATTGAAACCAGTCCTACACAATGAGAAAGGGAAATTCCCTTGCACCACATTACATATTTTATCAATTAGCAGCTGATTGGGTCTACCTAAATATTCATTTACACGCGTTGGTTTCTGTACATCGAAATCGCCCATTACACTGATTACTGACTGCACCCGGTAGCGACACGATCGATAACATACCAAGGGGCATTTTTATCGCTCTGCTGGGCCAGTGCAGAGCTCCTGCATAGGTGATGCGCAGGACAGCAGTGCCCGGTCATTGTGCAGTGAAACCCGCGTCTTTTCCAAACGATGCAGCTTTGTAGGAAGCTTACAGTACAGAGGAATGGGCTCGTGACCTTTGGTTTGCGAGTGATGCGGGTCATCTGATGGTTCGGTCATTGTATAGCCTGTCCTATATTGGCCTTCGATTGCCGATATCTCCTCGTGGAAGCGTCCTTCACTATTGGCTATTTAATAAGCAAGGCATGATGCGTCGTTTCTATATCATTTTTTCTTCGTTATTCATATGAACTATGAATATTATCCTGTTGTAAGCTCGTGCATCGTACAACTTACTCAATACTCTTTCATTTGTTTTCTCATTTTATTGACCTGGCGTATTGTGAATCAAACATTTGGAATGTGGCGCAATTCATTGGTTTGTAGTCCAGACTCCAGATAATACCTATTATAGGTATTTCCGACGCATTGTGATGCAATTTTGTGGCGTCAACGTAATTGAAAACTGACCAGCATCCAAACGTTTATTATTTCATTTGATGATTGCATGTAGTTGAAAGGATGGCCGGGTCCGTCTTAAGTTCGGAGCAATTAATGTCAAGTTTGGTCTAAATTTGTCAAATTCATCATAACAGGACTGCTCAACAGTACTGTTGCTGTAGCTGGAATTTAGATAGCTATGCTGCTGTTCAGTTTTGGCAGCACTTTGATAGCTTATGACAATATGGATGGAGGTATTTACTATTTTATATGTAATCTTTAGTTTCCTCCTTAGCTTAAGTGATGGGCGTATGGCTCACATCACTATGAATAGCTTCAACTGTACGCCACCTAGTTTTTTTCTGCCGGATTTTCAAAGACCTGACCTTGACCAAGGACCTGAACCACTTCACAAAGCCCATCTCTGCGGACCACGCTCCACTGGGTCGGAGCGCTGAGCGAGGTTTTCCGCTTCACCTGCCTCGCTATCGGCTGTCAATGCCGTAATGGCAGCCGCGGGACGGTGATTGTATCGGGCTCACCGCGTAGGCTGCAGGAGGACGAACTGCGCAGAGGTTAGATCACAATCTCAGTGGGATCTCTGCCCGGCGTAATATGCGTCTGATGGTCCAGATCGGCCGCGCAAGACGCCTCAGATGTAGATTTTCCTCCCACGGATGGATGTGCGGACGGACGGCGTGCTCCGGCCGCTGGGTCGTTGCCAAGGAGACGCGTCTGTGCGCGCCAGCTGACGCAGACAATCAGCTGATTCAAGGTCAACGGATGGACCTAGCTGGACCACCCGCGTGACTGTCACGTAACAGCAGCTGCAGTGGAACTGACAGGCGACAAGTCGATATGCCAATGTCGCATACATTTTACATGAGCTTCTTGATCAACATGTGAAACGCCTGTCAGCAGTCGATGAACATTTTGCTGTTTGTGACGCCATCAATATGCATAAGCATTCAGCAGTCAGCACGTCTGGAGTTCGGGGGACATCCCTTCCACCCTGCCTGCCTGTTCCGTCAGTTCGTTGCTCTCTGGCGGAAGGCGTGGCTACTGGCTCCGGTTCAGTCTCTGCTGCAGCGCCAGTCCGCGACGGGCCGATGTTCCGGACCGTCCGATCTAGTCAGCGATGAGCACTGGCTTAGCGGACTAATCGCCAGGTCATCGCAGCGAAGTCCCGGGCTTGGCGAGTCTGAACACCGACTCATGAGGGCCCGCTAATCGCATTGCTTTGTTTATCGGACAAGGGAACATCCAGTGAATGTCAGGCGCGTCCTCACCCGCCTTGCTTGCCGTAACATCGCGTTCAGGTGGCCTGGCCAGTGGCCTTAGCTGACTAATGACTTCCTGACGGGTAGTTCCGAATCAGTCATCGGGGCCTCGCCTGACCAACCAGCATGGCAATCGACTATGACCCAGTCAGTACATGACTCTTCATGGGAAGATATTCTGTAAAAGCTAAGCACATGACCGGGCTCTGTTGACCTGAATACAG